TTTATCAATTTTTGAAACACCCAGGGCAGTTTTGTTTGTGTTTGCCCCCCAGGGCAGATCTTACTGGCAGACAAACGCTCATGTGCTGGTACATACATTTCACAATTTTCTATATTTAAAAAAAATGTCTCGGAAACTAAAAAAGATTAATACTTTTACAAAATCACAGTATGAAATAAGTTCAAAATAGTAAAAGGAGAATTCTGCTTGTAGGGCTAGAGTATTTGGAACCTGATCCTATTGAAAATCTGCCTAAAAGTAGCCATGGCTACCAGAATTCTAATCCTACTGGACAAAACAGTAAGCCTCAGCAAGGCTGTGATCATTCCAGTAAATGTTTCAGACGAAGTAGAAGATCACAATGTCTGTCAGGGTTCAGATTTAATTCAACTTCTAAAACCTGTGTAGGTATGTACCAGCACAGGACTGTAGAATCTCACAGTAAATGGTGCCTCTAAGAAATGAATAATTTGTCCTTTTATGTTCTTGTGAAATAAAAGGAACAGATCCATTATAACTATTAAAAACATCTCTTCAACAAATGTTTTATTAGAAGTCAGGTAAATCCATCTAATACAACAATTTCAGGTCTCCCTTCGATGTACTAGAAGTGTAAGACCACTAAAGAAAAACATGCTTGAAATATCAATGTTATGTTTTGTGTAATCCACAAGATGAAACACACCCTTTAAGTCCGGTTTAATGGTGGCTTATAGGTCCTTAGTGGTGGTTTAATGGTTGTCTTTAAGTCACCATTAAGTCACCATTAAGCACCTTTAAGTAACATTTACACCACCATTAAGTTACCATTAAGCCAACTCAAAGTCCTTAATGGGTGCTTAAATGTAGCTTAATGAGCTTAATGGTGGCTTACAGGTCCTTAATGGTAACTTTTAGACCACCATTAAGTCACCATTAAGCTACCATTAAGCTAGACTTACAGGTGCTTAATGTCCAAACTCCATTAAGCTACCATTAAGCTACCATTAAGCCACCACCATTAAGCCACATTACGCAGTCGATACTATTGTTTATATGGGTGAAAAATTATTTCTATAGTGATTTGTTATCAATATTATAAATGTAGAGTTCGCACATATCTTGATTTGGTAAAAATAATGAAAAAGAACGAAATTCAAAAATTAAAAAAAACGCCACAGACAGGGCGCGATCCCATGACCTGAGGGTTGTAAGGCGAACGCCTTATCCATTAGGCTATCGCCGCTCTTGTCAATATATGGAAAATATTAAATATTTAACCTTTATTTTTTTCAAAATTTGTTTGGACATGTAAAGGTATCTACTAGTATTTTGTTGAACATTTCCAAAAGTCTTGAATTGATTTATTAATCAAAATATAAGCAATTTTATTTGTGGATCTTTTTGAAAGGCTTATAACACATTAATATTTTTACATTGAGTTCGGCTTTTAGATTGATGTAATGTGATTGAGTTCTTCGCTCTGTTATTCGAAAATTTTGTATGTAAGCATTAAATCATGATTGAAAATAAATTAATTATAGATAAAACACAAAAATCTATCATCGAAAAAGAAAGAGGAAAAAACAGATTCTACTATTATTTTTAATATACTGCGGATTAACGGTTTCTGTGTCAACAATTTAGTGACAATCCTCGCGTAAGAGTTACCTGGTTATATTACGTTTACAAAAACTTTTTTTAGAATATCATATTCAGTTTCAATTCTTTTTGTATCATAATGGGTATCAAAATAATTGACTTTTTACTATGAATCATAATTTTTAATTTGTTATATGCTTGCGTTAAATTTAAATTTTGTAAAAATAATTGATCATAAAATCTGTCAGTGTACGTTGTGTATGTATAGTTTCCTGTTAGTTAACCGGGGACGGGGGGACACCTAATTAAGATCTGTTGTCTGACCAGTCGGTTTACTGTACACTGATCATCTGTTAATCTACCCCGTTTCTCAATGTGTATACATCTGGTCGGATGTCATGTTGAATCTGATCGGCCGTTCCTCTGAAAATCGATTTTGAAATAACAATCATATTGAAGACCGACTAGATTTTGACAGATACTTACCGCTGTATTATTAAAAAAGAAATAAGGAATTAATTAAAATTATTCATGATGTAAAAGCCATTAAAAAGTTTTTCATGGTAAAAGTCAATCTTTGAAAAACTAAACATTTGTATACCAGTAGCCCCCCCCCCCCAAAAAAAAGGACAGAGTTTTTTTTTCATGAGATTATATAGTTATATTCCTGTGAATTCTGTAGCGGAATGTTTCTTTTAACACATGAAATAAAAAAACCATTTTGTTTTTAAAAGTAATATATATTTTGTGTTCATGAATATAGATAATTTTAAGAACAAATTGATTTTTGGTATTGTAAATTTAAGATATTTCACAATGATTTGCTCACGGTGTGTAATAATTATTTATTTTTAAAAATCATATACACTAAAAATAAAAACAACGCATGTAATAATGATTTATTTAAAAAAAATAATATACGGTTCTGATACAGGATGTCTTGTTTTATTATCACTGTAAATGATTTTTTTAAAAAAATTAGACACCTCGAGCAAGCCCCTGTGGCTATTAGCTAACTTTGTTCCCAGTGATCAAGTTTATGCATGTTGACAAAAAACTCGTAGAAATTATGATCGAGACAAAATTATGAGTTGGAATAGATTTTGCGTAAATGATATTAAAATAACTAAAAGTTAGTTCAAAGATTCTATATAAGATGCGTAAAAGTTTAATGAGGGTTGACCATTAAGTCACCATTAAGCTCAGCTTAATGGTGGCTTAATGGTAGCGTAATGAAGTTTGGACATTAAGCACCTGTAAGTTGCAGCTTAATGGTGGCTTAATGGTGGCTTAAAGGAATTAACTTCTTTAAGCCACCATTAAGTCACCATTAAGCTACCATTAAGCGATTGCTTAAAGGTGGTCTTTCGTCTTGTGATCCATGTGAGATTTTCCAGTGTGAGAGATATCAATGTTATGTGTTCTGTATGAGATTTTTTATTGTTACAGATATCAATGAATGCAGTGAGGATCCAGGGATCTGTCAACACAGCTGTAATAACACAATTGGAGGGCACCAGTGTGTCTGTCCCCCGGGCTATAAGTTAGGAAGAAATGGCAGGAATTGTGTGGGTAAGGCAGCTACACAATTGTATAATGCCCCCCCCCCCAACACTGCCACTACCACCACCCCCACCACCACAAAAAAGAAAAGAAAATGGAAAGAAAATTAAGTAAATTATCTTAGGTGGAAGCTATGTCATCCAAAAGCTGTAGATGTAAAAACAAAAAAAACATGACTATATAGAACTGCTTTCCCTACCTTACAGATATAATATTTTTATAGCCAGTGAAATAAATAGAATGCATGGGCAAAGATTCTGAAAAATAAAGACCTGAAGTATTTGACTATAAATCAAAGCTGTACACGACTCGTAAATAGGCAAACACCAGATTTGATATCATTATCTACAATACATCAATACCTGTCCAGGGTATACTCATCAGATTTGTTATACCTGAGTGCTTTATTGTCATGGATATCGGCGTGGAATGGCAACCCATGTTCTTGCTGGTTATCTTGCATTTCTTTCATTTTTAGGTCACCTGAATAAACTCAGGTGACCTATTGCTATCTGTTTTCATCTGTCATCGTGCGTTGTGCGTTAACATTTGAACATTTTCAGCTTCTTCTCTGCAACCACCGAACCAATTTCAACCAAATTTGGCATAAAGCATTTATGGGTGAAGGGGAACAAAAATTGTGATTTTCATGATCCCTGCCCCCCTGGGTCTTGTGAGGTGGGGCCAAAACCACTAAAATTAGTGCAATCTTTAAAAATCTTCTTTACTCCTGGACATCAAGCAGTCAAACTGTTTGCATGATTGTAATCAACAATGAGTCTTCTACTAAAATTGTGAAATTCATGGCCCTGGGGTCAGGGGTTTTAGTGCTAGGGCGGGGCTAAATAAGTAGGTAGTGAAAATGCATTATTTCTTTGAAAATCTTCTTCTCTGCTCCTGAGTATTAAATAAACCATAGTACATAGTTATGATGAGCAAGAGTGCCTTTACCAAAATTATGAATTTTATGGCCCCAGGGACAGGGGTTCTGGTGTTAGGGCGGAGCTCTATTGATTATATAGTGAAAATTCATGAATTCTCTGAAAATCTTCTTCTCTGCTCCTAGGTATTTAATAAACTAACTAAGTGCATAGTTATGATGAGCAAGAATGCCTCTTCCATAATTGTGTATTTTATAGCCCCAGGGTCAGGGGTTCTGGTGTTATGGCGGGGCTCTATAGATTATATAGTGAAAATACATGAATTCTTTGAAAATCTTCTTCTCTGCTCCTGGGTATTTAATAAACTAACTAAGTGCATAGTTATGATGAGCAAGAATGTTTCTTCCAAATTGTGTATTTTTTGGCCCCAGGGACAGGGTTCTGGTGTTAGGGCAGGGCTCTATTGATTATATAGTGAAAATACATGAATTCTTTGAAAATCTTCTTCTCTGCTCCTTGGTATTAATAAGACTTACTAAGTGCATAGTTATGATGAGCAAGAGTGCTTCTACCAAAATAATGAATTTTATGGCCCCAGGGTCAGGGGTTCTGGTGTTAGGGTGGGACTGTATTGATTATATAGTGAAAATATATGAATTCTTCGAAAATCTTCTCCTCTGCCCCTAGGAAATAAATAAACTAACTAAGTATATAGTTATGATGAGCAAGAATGCCTCATCCAAAATTGTGAATTTTATGGTCCCAGGGTCAGGGATTCTGGTGTTATGGTGGGGCTCTATTGATAATATAGAGAAAATGCAGAATTTGTTTGAAAATCTTCTTCTCTGCTCCTGGGTATTAAGCAGATGAACTACAAATAAAGTTATGATGCATATAGTTATGATAGACAAGTGCCCATATCTTACAGAATTGTGAATTTCAAGGCCCCAGGGTCAGGGGTACCATAGAGGGGGGGGGGGGGTTGTACTTATATACTGAAAATGAATGAATGGTTTGAAATCTGCTCCTTGGTATTAATCAAATATCAAGGCCTTAGGGTCAGGGGTTCATGTATGGTAGGGGCACTACTGATTATTGCTGAATATTACTGATTAGTTGAAATGCATTTTTTTTCCCTTACCCTGCATATGGGTATTAAGTAAACAAACTAAGCAACTGCTAAGTGTATTGTTATGATGATCAATGGTGCCTCTTTCAAAATTGTGAATGCCATAACATCTGGCTTAAAACATGAATCAAGTTTAATCACTGGAAAGTTGTTGCATAATGCTCAGGTGACCTATAAGGCCCATGGGCCTCTTGTTATATAAATGTGCATTTACAAAAAGTTTTTTTTTTCTAAAACTAATGATTATTTTTTGTTAGGGATGTCAAAATTGTTAATAATTGATATTCGAAGTATTCTTTGGTATCTTATATTCCTGCCGATAAAAGAAATACATTTTGCATTATAAAATATATATTTTCACTCCTGTCATGCAGAATAGATTTTATGCCATTATTTTGGAACAAAAACTCATACAGAGTTTGGTAAATGTGCAATTATATATTTTTTAAATTATTGAATACATGAAGAGCATACATTCAAAATGTAATGATTATTTTTGGTGAAATTTTAAAACATTCTTTAGAATGTTCCAGATTTTTTTGATCAAAATTAAAAAGGAAAATGTGTGTTTACAAATTTATATGAATGCATCACATCCAATTATCTAAAGGAGAAAGATTCAACATGAGAGGTACTTTTTGCTGTATTAATTTCCTGATAATGATTTTTATTCTTTCATGATATTTACATAAACAATGGATCCATGTGTATACTGTAAAAGTGTTCTTACAACAATACAAGCTGATTGTAAGTACTGGACACTATTTTAACCAATTAATGATCAAATGAATAAATTACTTTGATAGATACACTCTTCACACCTTTATGGTTACAAAGGACTGTCTTTTAATTTTGTAAAAACTACACACAGAATCCACTTACAAAGTTTTTCTCTATTTTAATGCTACACACAGAAATTAATATTTGAAGTCATCTATATAAACTACACACGGGATCAACTCACAAAGTAATATTCTATATAAACTACATACAGAATTTTTGTTCAAAGTAAGTCATCGTATTCTACACACGTGTTAGATCATTTACTGTCATGACTATATAAACTGCATAGACGTCAATTTACTTACAAAGTAAGTATTTTCTATTATAAGAACACACAAAATTCAAATGGACACATATTTTATTTGCTATCGCACCTGGCTTGCTACATGTACTTGACTACAAGTGGCTAATAAATTGCACACGGGATCCAAAAATATTAAGTTGTCACTATTTAAACTACATACTTATTTCGAATCCACTTACAAATTTCTATTTTTAAACTCACACAGGTATGGGATTACAAAGTTTGTCGTTTGATTAAATCTGGGTACACAGATTATCCACTTACAAAGGTGGTAGTGGTTCATACATTAAACTAACATTCATCTTCAGTGTGTAATAAATAATGGTGTTATAGCATCCACTTACAATATATGAGTCAAATATAAACTACACACATTTTGCATATGAAATGAAGTCATCTATATAAACTAACCGTTAAATGTAAACTGTTTCATTTATATAAAAACTCACACAGAAATTCCAACATTACAAAGTAAGAATTTATTTAAACTACACACTTTGCGATTCCACTTACAAAGTTAATTGGATTTTGAATACACACGGAATTTTTACAAAGTAATGTTTATGTATATAAACCACACACCCCCCCGAAAATCTTAATGTACAAAGTAAGTTTCATGAATATAAACTACACACAGAATTTTACAAAGTGCAAGTATATATATAAACAACACACGGAGCCACTTACAAAGTAAGTCATTTATATAACATTACATACAGAATCCACTTACAAAGTCTGTCATCTATATAAACTACACACATTTTCCACTTACAAAGTAAGTCCGCTATATAAACTACACACAGAATCCACTTACAAAGTGTCATCTATATATACTACACACAGAATCCACTTACAAAGTAAATCATCTATATAAACTACACACAGAATCCACTTACAAAGTAAATCATCTATATAAAATTTGGTGGCATGTTTTACAAAATCTTCTATCTAAGACTACACACTGTGCCAGGACAAAGTAACTTATATAAACTACCTATGAGCCACTTAAAAAATAAGTTTGATTTGAACTACCCCCGGAGGGCGGGGCCAAAATGGCCACTTACAAAGTAATTTGTTGGAAAAATATAAATATAGTTCCATTTATAAATTAGTAAGTTATCTGAAAACTTACATTGTATAACATTTAAAGTGAGTTACTATTTAAAAATAGGTATATGTACTTTGTTCCATTTATGATGTCTTTCACTCATCAAAAATAGTAAATTCAGGACAAAATTACAAAGTTAGTTTCTCATTTTGGATAATTATTCAACATCTTCTTTGAAGTATTAAGTTGCTAATAAATTATAAAGAAAGTTACTTAGTTGCCTAAAACAACTTCATAGAGGAGCAACTTACAAAGTAAGTCACGTGTCCTTGATAACATGGTGAACTAGCTGACTTCTGTATGAAGAGTTGTGTCCCCTGTTTTCAGATACTGCGTGTTGGAGTGCATATTCTTCTCTATGTCCAGAGGGCGCTAAGTATGCTGATGTCATTGAGTTCCGAACTCTGGCTCTCCCTAGTGGAATTTTACCTCAGCAGGATTTAATTAGACTCACTGTGTTGAATCAGAATAATGTTAAAATGACTAAGAATGACTTCATCATACTGGAGAATGACCCTAAAGTGAATTTATATTGAGGCTCCTCAGGGGTCAGGGATTCTGTTCACAGAGCAACCCCTAGAAGAGCTAGAGACGTATAAAATCAAAGTGAGAGCCAAATCTTATAACGCCGTAACAGGGGTCTTACAGTATCAAACTACATTTATGATTCATATATCAATTTCAGCATACCCATATTGATTATAGACTGTGTACCTGTTTGATTTTGTATTAATTTTTTATAGTTGATGATTTCATTTTGATAATGAATGATAATTTTTTGTATTTTTTTTTTGGTGGGGGGAAGGGGTCATTAAGTGTAAATGGCATTTGTCTTTTCTACTTTATGTGTGTGTGTGCAATAA